GGGGCCAGCTGCTCCAGAGAAGCGCACCCCTCGCCCTCTGTAGCCAGAGAGCTGGCCAGGTTGCAGGCTCGTCCTGGCCAGGGAACCCTAGTGCTGCAGGCCCTGTACCTTTAAGAGTGCCTGGCGGGGGGCCAGTGCGCACCCCGGCTTGGGGAGCAGGGTCGCGTTATTAGCATTATTAGCCGCCACTGGGTGAGCTGGGCACTTAGCGGCGGTGCTGGGGGCGGGGAGTCCTGGCGGTGGTGGCTCTAATCCCGTCCGCGGGGAAATCGCGCCCAGGCCCCCTGCGCGGAATCCGCCTTGTCCTTTGGAAACATTTGGGCCTCTGGGTTGGGAGAGCAGGCGGGGGGCAGTTTGTGAACTCTTGTTTGTTTTAATTGTCAGTTGTATGTTAAAGCCGAGTCACACACTCCGAGGGTCACCGAGAGTTCACTTTTAGGAAAAGTTAACATTTCTTCCTGCAATATAACTTGCCATTTTTTCAAATAACTTTTCCTCTCTCTGTCCCCTAACCTTCTATCCTTCCATTTTTGGTGATCTCTCCCATTTTCAGTTTTCCAGAAAATAAGGTTGAAATTGGAATGAGGATGTTTCCTAAAAGCAAGCAAATTCTCCCTCCCGAAAAAAGGTTTAAAAAACCCGCAAACCGGGAGACCCCCGCGGCCTTGTTTTACTTTCTAAACCTAGTCCGGCATGGGGCCCCTTCTCCTCTCCTCTTGCTTTAAATGGACAACTCGCTGTTTGGAAGTCGCTTGTAGCCAGCGGTGCGATCACACCTCCTCAGCCCCTTGCCCTGCCGCCAACGCTCTCTGTGGCTCAGCCAGATGCGGAGATTTAGTTTCTAGCAGCCTCTGCCAGGGGAGTTCCGAGAGGGTAATGCTGAGAGCGCGCAGACGATGGAGAGGCAGCGGAATTGTGTGTCCGAGTGTGTGGGTTTGTGTCCTGCGTGTGTGGAAGAAGTAAAAGGTCAGTTGTTCTTGGGTGTACTAGCCTTAGTCCCGCACCGCCCCACAAAGGAGAACCCTCCCTCCCCTCCGGAAGGCCGACCCAAGACTCTCTGGCCACTTCCCTCCCCTCATTGGAGCGCTCCAGTGCACAAGGGGTTAGCACCGTGCGCCGGGAGCTCAGCTTTTCCCGCAGTCTTTTCTTCCCTGCCGTGCGGTGCCGGCTGCCCCCTGTTGGCTGCCTTGAGGTAGGACACCTCAGATTCAGTTCGGTGGGGCCAGTGGGTTCGCCTCTAGCTCCCACCTCTGGCTGTGCACATTCTATCCCACTCTCCCAGGGGAGGGCCGCTCAGAGGCCCCCAGAGGACCCGCTGCGCCGCGCCACCGCCACCGCAATGCGGAAGAGGCCAAGGGCACGACCCAGCAAACGGGGCTCGGGCGAGTGGAGCAAGAGCTGGTACCTCTTCTCCAGGGCGTTGGAACAAGAGCGTTGCCCTCTAGGAGGCCTCGGGGGTCTGGTCTTGGCGCTCTCACCAATTTCCTCTGTAATCGAGGACAAGTGTTGCTTTCTCTGGTCCTCAGTTTCTTGTCTATTAAAAAGTGCAGTTAAAACTGCCTCTGAAGGGAGGTTGGTGGGGGTTGAACTGATGCTTAATTTTCTTTCTCCTTCCACCGGACTCTGCTCTTCCTCTGGATAAAGTTGAGAGCCAGTGCTGAGAGTTAGACATTTCGTGTGAGAAGGTAGGAGTGGTGTGTGTGTGTGTGTGTGTGTGTGTGTGTGTGTGTGTGTGTGTGAGGGAGGGGGTTGAGGTCTGGAGAGCCTTGTCCCAGGGGTGGACGACTGAAGGCCGGGAACAGACAGAACTAGACTTGGCAACTATACCTCCCTTAGAGACCCCTTGCTACTGGACCTGCTGTTGGTTTTGAGTCAGGGCGATCACAGGCTGCTCACGTTCCTTGCAATGATTTGGGCTCTGAAAGCTCCCTACACCCTCTCTCTCCCCACCCCCCACCCCATCCCGCCACAGCGCTGTGGATACGTCCCGGCAACACTGGGCGGCTGCAGCCCCCCCCTCCCCGCCCAGGCTAGAGGCATGGGGGAGCGCTGGCTCCTTGTTTGCTCCCCCAAAGCGGACCTCCTATCAGCCTTGACCGGCTCATCCTCCCCTCCCCTCCCCTCCCACTTCTCTTGGCGTTCCTGAAGCAGGACAGCCCAACACAACAATCGAGTTTTTCTCCCGCAGTTTTCTCCATCTTTCTCCTTGCTTCGGAGAGAGATCACAGTGGGGAAAACACGTTTTATTTCCCACCAAAAACTGTGATTCTTGGAGTTTCCTACCCCTTTCGACACCGTGAGTCCAGGTCAAACTCACTTCCTCCAAGTTGGTCTCCCTCATCATTTCCACTTCCAGAGACTTTTGGGGGGGGGGGGGGGGGGGGGGACCGGGACGCAAAGAGCCTGGTGGAAGGGGATGCCCAAACTGAGTGAGGCAGCGCCGGTGGCCCAGGGTCGGGGATGTTCGCCCTGCGTTTGTGGAACTTTCTTTTTAGGGGCGGCGGGCGGAGGACTCTCGGAGGTTTGCGAGTGCGTCGCAGTGCTTTCCGTGGCACGCGAACCTTTTCCAAACAGCTTGCGGGTTTCCTCTCTCTTACCCCCTATCACTCCACGCCCGCAACCCAGTTGAAAAGAAGGGTTAGGAACACCTTTAATCTAATGCGAAAGCTTTGGAGGAGAGACAGAATAAGCAGCCGCTACAATTCCCTGCTCTGGGCTGGAAACAAGGGCGCGCTGACGTTCTCACCCCCAACCTCCCCCCTCCCCTGCGCTAGAAACTCTCAAATGCACCCTCCTTCCCACCCCACACAGGGAACAGGTTCCGAGGTCCTCACAAAGTCAGCTTTCCCGGGCCCTGCACGCTTTTGAAAACCTTTAGTCCCTTCTTGGTAAACTTAGCTTCTGCCTAGAAGTTTTGGTTCGCCCTCGCTCGGTGTACTAGTCTCCGGAGAGGTCTCCTTTCGTACTGTCTTTTCGGATCAGATCTCTTCGTAAACAAGGCAGGGGTGTTTACCCAACGGAGTCCATGTATTTCTTAGTGAGTTCGCTGTAGGTTCCTTACATGTTTCAAACTCGTGGGGCCTTTTCTGGGCTGCTCGGGGTTTGGATGGGGAAGAGGGCCAAGGTGTTTCCGGGCAAGCGCGCGGGGTTAAGTGGCGACGCGACTTGCCCGGCTCTCCTGCGGATCCCCTTGGGGACACCTTTGGCTGACCCCCAGCCTGGAGCTGGGGAGACCCGCCTGGCAGAGGCCCAGTGACCCACTACCAGTTGGCCCCAGCTCTGGGACTAGGTGGACTTTTCTCGGGGTCGTCGGCCGAGAGTGGGTTCGGTTTGTGTGGCTTCCCCTCTAACAAAGAGATCCCCTGTAATCCGCCGAATCTGTTATCAATTTCTCCGCCGCCCGCGCCCCGCCCCGCGCGCCCCGCCCGTCGGGAAGCTCGGAAGGTGCGCGTGGCCAGCAGCGACCAGCGCCGCCGTCTGGGAAGCACATCGGAGCCGGTGTATCGGTGCACGCGTGTGAGTGTGTGCGAGTGCGTGAGTGTGATCGTGCAGGAGTGTACGCGCGCGCGGCCTCGGCCGCCTATGGGGAGAGTCGGCTTTGCAGCAGGGGCCGCGCGCGAAGGCAGACCTCGCAGCCCACCCCCCTCCCCTGGAGGAAACCTGACACTTCGGGCGGCGGGCGGGGGTGGGGAGGGAGCCGAAGGCTTCTCTCCACGGCTGGGGAAACCCCAGGTTTCTATTCTCTGGGATGCGCCCCCAGCTCCAAGGCGTTTGGAGGACTAGTGTGCCGCGGGCGCTGGCGCCCTGGTTAGCGGGCACCGGGGACACATAAGCATTTCCTCTCGAAGAAGCCCCGAGGTGTCCCGGCCGGAGGGGCGGCTGGCCAGGAAAAGCCGTGGCAAGCTTCTGAGCCCCTTCGTGTTTCCTAAGCTGCCTAGGTCCCCTCGGTCCCTTCTGTTGCCTGGAAGAGGCTCACCGGTCCTTTCCTGAGGAAGGGGGTCCCTGGGGAGCTGCGGGAGGCGCAGCGCGTCCCGGTTAAACTGATCAGAGATGTAAAAGGGGATTTTGGAAACCTGCTCCTCCCTCCCGCAGCCGCCACCGCTTTGCTCCGCTGCCGCCTGCAGGTGGAGAAGTCACCCGCGGGGAGGAAGGGCAGCGGGAGCTTCCAAGGCCGCCCCTGCCCCGACATCCTTGACGACTGGAACCTTCGCCGCCAGGCCCTCTACGCCCTGGAACCCGGGGTCTCCGCCGCGGCGCCCGAGCCTGCGCATCTCTGGCCCCGTCGGGGGGCTCGCTGGAACCAGCTCCGGCCTCAATCTGCACCCTCACCGTTCAGAACTGACCCAACCGAGTCTTAATTGGGCTGGAGAGGGGGGTGGGGGGCGGTGGCGGTGTTCCAAGGCCAGGCTCAAGGTGCCGCGATGGCGAAGTGGCGGACAACTCCGACCAGGACCGAAGGAAACTGGAGTCCCCCTAGGCTTCCTTTCCCCCCCGGCTCCTAGGCAGCTGCCAGGAGTGGGGCGAGAGGGTCGGGAGGGAGAGTGAAAAAGAATTTGGAGGAGGATGGTGGGAAGAGCAGGGCAGGGGTCCCGTCCGAGGACGACGGGACCCAGATCCCTCCTTTCCTCTGGGGTGCCATCCTTTCGCTATAGTACGCGGAGTCCCAGGGAGCGCCCTGTTTTCTGGATTCCTTGGTTGGGAGAGCAGATCTCTCTCCCTCTCTCCATTGATTCCTGCGCCCCCCAGCTCCTTCCTCCAGCTCCAATCTGGCGGAGGAGCGTCCTAAGGAAAACCAGGCTGCCCTCCCCCCTCTGGAAGTGGCTTCGCCCAAAGCGGCCCGTAAACTGATTAAGAAACATACGATGTTAATTCAGAGCCGCATTTCCCAGCTGGGCACTTTCTCTCCCGCCGC